TAGAACAGTGCTGTGTTTCCAGAACAGCTCACCAGAGAGAAMAGAGCACGATGCTCAGAGGATGCCCAGGCCCGGGTTCAGCCCTTGAGGGGCAGAGGAAGGATAAGATTGTTTTCAATGATTCAGGAGATACGGATTGAATTCCTGGCTCCCTCTAAACTTTCCATAAAACTTCAGCCAATTCATTTCAATCCAGAATCTCAGCAATGAGCTACCAGACTCCTTGATGTTGTTGGACAACTGTTTAAATGTCCGCATTTAAATGTCACTCTTGGATCTGATTTAGACTGCCAGTTTTCAGATCTGTGTAGAAAGAACAGTGATCTTTCCTTCCTTTCTCATCTTCTGCCTTACCTGTTCTGCTGTGAGCCCCTCGGGGCAGAGGAATCTGTTCTTTTGTGCCTGCCAGGTGCCTGACAAAATGGGCTTTAGTCTCCTGCAGGTCTTGCAACTCTCCCAAGTTTCTAACACAGGGTTTTCCTGCATGCAAACATCAAACCAGTGACATTGTTATCACTGTTTCAACAACTGCTGCATCCCACCCAGGAAACTGCTGCACTTCATGTTAAGTGTCCAGCGTATTTCTGTTGTGGGTCATTTTACTGAAGCGTAAACACATGAACTGAAAAATCTAATTCTAGGTCGTTAGGAAAACATTAGCTAAAGTGCTTCTGCAAGGCTCTGCTGGAAGGTACTAGAGGAAGAAAACTCCTTTATCCATCTCCTCTGAAAGCATTTGTTTATAAATCCTAATAGCAAAGCGTGATGCTGGTGCAGCAAGCCTGTACAGTGCCAGAGAATAGAGAACATAGAGAATACTCCATGCAGAAACTAGTAGAACAACATCACTTCTCCTTCAGAGGCTGCTGAGGAAGGAGAAGACAGTGAGTCCAGCGCTACAAGCTGCAAGGGGGTTAAATGGCGCCTCCCTTTCAGAAGTTTTGAGCACGAGGGGATCCGTCCCACTTTCTGTGCATTCATTCTGATCCCAGAATCACATCTCCCACATGAATCCATCAGTCAATCAACACAGGCACAGCACAAGCCCTTTGAAATATTTCCAACACTTGGTCCAGGTCTCCTGCATCAGGAAGAACATGCAGCTCTGCTGTTATACTAAGGCCATGCCATGAAGTCTTCTTAAAATCAATGACTCTGTTTGCCCAGGAGCTGAAGAAACCACTCTTTAAATGCCTAAAGCTGTCAGAAGTAAGATACTAAAGTAGAAATATCTAAAACTTACATAGCATCTCTTCGTTTTACACAGAAAGGTGGTGCACAGAGCAGAGCAAGAACTTCTCAGCCTTGGGGTCACCAAGAACGGGCTGTGTGGAAGGGGCCCTTGGCCTTCAAATGCAACACTCACATCTAACATCAGAAAAAGAATATTAAAAATAATATAAATCCAAATTTCCCCTGTCCCTGATCCTCCGGAAGAAAAAATAATAGTAATAATTGAAGRCAACCCTGATTTGGAGTCAGAGAACTGAAAAGTGCCTGCAGTTCAGACACCTCTCTCTTAGGCCCTACTTCTCTGGTGGTTATCAGGACCTTCCCATTCCAGCAAGAGCATAAAGCGGTATTTCCCATCATAAATTATCATAAATCCCTCAGCAAGCCCCCAAGCTCCACCTAAAAACTGCACAATCCCACTGCAAATCACTTGCCCCCAAACAGGCAATGACRAATAGCTTGGCAGGGCTCGTGCTCAATGGCAACCCACTTACACGCTTTGATGTTCACGGCAATTACAGGCACGCTGGCTGTCCCCTGTGTATTATTGTCMCTTGTTTATATAGCAGCCACGGCCAGAGCCTGCCACACTGGGACTGGGCTGCTACCCRAAACAGAGGGAGGAAACAGCGTGATGGCCAAGTGCCACCATCAGCACGGTGGCACCGCTGGCACAAGGTCCCCCGTCCTGCCCACCCACGCCGAGGCTCTTCCTGTTTTGGGCACGTTGGCCCTGCTTTGCTCTCATTCCATTGTGGTAGCTAAGCAGCTTCYCCAGAAGAAAACACCTGACACAACGGGACTCCTGCTTATTTAAGTTGGCAGAGGAAGTGTCACAAGAGGCAGCGGCCAGGAGCCTGAGCCAGACCTGCTCCATGCTGTTGTGTTTAGAGGAGGCCAGGTAATCCCTTGGAGAACAAAAAGCCAAGAGGGGGATCTCCATCTCTTCATGTGCTCACACCAAGGCTGGTCATGTTTCTGTAATAGATCCAAAGCACACCAGGATCTTCCCGTTCCCCACTGTGGGCCTCTGTGGCTACAAAGGGATCTGATACAGTTAGAAAACTAAACATCTTTACTGCTGTTCCTTGGCCACATCCAGAACACCAACTGCCCAGGCAAATTTATGGTTGAGGCAGCAGCAGGGCTGTCGGGCAGCCTGCTCCTGTTCAGCCTCAGCTGACTGCGCATGGACAGCACCTGCTTGTTTGCTTGATTTAGAACAACCCCAAGTTCTTCCCCAAGATTTGGTTTCGCAAATTGTTCTGTGACATCTCCTTATAAGCCAGTGCTATGGTCTGACCTTCGGCGAAGCAATAAGCTGTGGTGGAAGAGGAAGGACTCCTCTTCCTCTTGTGCTAGTTCTGGAGGTCTCTGAGCTGCCCCGTGGGATAGTCCCGTCCAGGTCTAACAGTACAGCAGCAGTCAACGTTGTCTTCTTTTCTCTCAGCTTCTTCTTGTTCCCCAGAGGCCCCATTCAAGCTTTCAGATTTCTCCTTGATTACACTAAATAAAAGATGAACAAACTGCAATCTGAGAAGTCTCTCTCCTCTCTTTTCCTCCAAGGATGTATATTAAGCAGCAGCTAGGCTGTCTGGAAGTTACTGAGTGAAGACAATAGCTATTTGAGCAATTCTTGGTGCTTTCATGTGACATAGACACTGCAAAAAGCTGTGACAATTTCAAGAAGCCTGTTTTTTAGACTTTGGTACATTTAAGCTGTTCTTTAAAACCTCCAAAGAAGATATCCCACAGTCCTCTTTTGCAACCATGCCTAGCAACTCGTTGTGTTAGAGTTTCCTCATTCCCTTCCTCTTGATGCAGACTTAGCTCACTTGTCTTGACCCATTCACCCCCATGGATGTAGAGAACCCATTAGCCCCTTCCTCTCCAGGCTAACAGAGACTGAAATCATGTCTCCTGTCAGTCTTGTCCCATCCTTTCGCTCTTTATTCTCTACTATTCTGAGTGAAAGATGTCTAGAGCACAGCCCTGGCAAGGTCCACAAGAAAAATATTTCCTAGTGCTGCTATGCAAGCAAGTTTTGCCAGCCCAGTAAGCCAGTAAGTAATAAAAACATAGAAGAGTTTTCAAGTGTTGTTTCTATAGGGAAATACTATCTGGAAAGATTATTTTATCATGCATTCACTGTGGTTTACATGCTGTTTTGATTCTGGTTGGGCTGGGATCCTTTTCATAAAGCCTCAGAGGAAAAAACAATTAGGGCTCCAAGATAATTATGTGAGAAAGATGACATCAATCAGGAGCTCACTAGACCCAGACAGTCCCCGGAGGGCTGGGCTCCGAGCCAAGCTGCAATGACCCACTGCTCTGAGGACTTCCACTGCTCCCTCGCATGGGCCACAGGGTCAGAATCAGCCCCGTGTTCGATGCCTCCTCCAGCCAGAGCCTCCTCCAACTGCTTTTGCTTGGACCGTGGCCAACAAGCCTTAGCTCACGGTGGCAGAAATCTCTCATTCCAGATCTACACCACTGTTGGAGTGGGATTCGCCTTCCAGTTTTCAGTCATTTTTGTTCGTGCTCACATAGTTGCTTTGAAGAATCTTCTGGCAGTGTTGGTATCACTATCAATAATTAGTAAAACACTAATTAGGAAGTGTATTTAAAAAAAGACAAACTCAAAGTTACATTTTGGAAATTAAAGCAGTTGGGTTTGATTTCTGAGAATTTAAAGTATATTTTGCTCATGTTTTGTAGCTTTTGTTGCAAACTATGAGAATTGGATATTTCTTTTTCAAACGGCAGCTCATCTTATCATAGGATTCCAGGCACTGCGGCTTACAGAAAAGCATCAGATTCCCCCAGAGTTGACAACATGGAGAATTGGTGCAGGGATGCCTCAGCATATATAATAATAATAATAATAGTAATAGTAATAGTAATAGTAATAKTAATAGTAATAGTAATAGTAATAATAATAATAATAATAAGCTGAGAAACTCTCTGAGACTCTCTGCAACTGCTACGGTCCTGAGATAGCAAGGTCTGTGTGATACGTCCCTCCAGTGCCAACCCAACCAGGGACCCAACGAGCTCGGTGTCAGCCCATGAGCTGCAGCCTCCCGCCTGCTCCCCACCTCAGATCTACCAGGGCCTCAAGGCTTCAGGCAGCGCCRGGGAGGCAGTTGCGGAGGGCAGAAGGTAGGAGACAGGAAGAAAAACAGTCTAGGGGCCTTTGCAAGCCTCATCCATCAAGATCCCATTGAAACAAAGCGTTCAAGTGCCTGAACTCTTTAAACAGCCACAGAAACCAAATCGAATGGGCTTTCCCTGCCAAGAAAGAGCGAGGGGCTCATGGGGAAGGAATGACACCACTTACGCCGCCTTGAATTTTCACATAAGAGCACATGGAGAGTCCCTAAAGGGTTTGGCTTCATCTGACACATTGCATCTCAACCCCTCTTCTCGTATCCAGCTAGTCTGGCCCTCAGACACGGATCTTCCCCTCCATGCTCTGCTCKGGGTGGGAATGGGCAAAGTCATTTATCTTGGTTGAATAAACTCCAGTAGTAATTTGCTCAGATCAAACCTAACAGCTCATATTTAACCAAGTAACTTTACACTCTCAAGGCGTTCATTACTGCTTCATAGCTAATGCTTGGGGAAAACTGATGTATTTCAAAGTCAGTCCCTAAAGAAAACAGGGAAGCCCCATGCCACACAACGGACAAGAACACTGATGCCTTGGTGTGCAYGTCAGACTGTCACACATCAGCACTGTTTGAACTGTTCTTGTTTCCTTTCAGGTACTACGACCTCCACAGAACCCCCTGGCCATGCTGTAGCAGGTACCACCTCAGTTTTGCTCTTATTAAAAAGTCCATTTGAATGTGTGCGTGCATGCCTAGGTGTGGATGCAGAGGGAGAGTTCACAAAAGGGATCCAGGACCTACCAACAAGGAGCCCAAACATGGAAGATGTCACCTCCATAACTCTCTGCTTGTGTTACAGGTCAGTCTCAAACAACACACAGCGCTGAACTAAAGAACCATACCTCAGGTAACGCATACCAAAGGAGTAGTGCTCTGTGCCTTCCTCTGCCTCCCTCCAAGGGCTATTGCAGATACCCTGTGACAAGGTATGGTAGCTGGGCTATCAGAGCTCCTCTGAAGAGCAGATAGTGCAGCTACACTGCTTTGGGGCCCTGAAGGCATCCTGGAAAGCTTGTAAATGGCCTGCATGTATATCAGTCCTTTGGGGCTCTCCAGAAGCAGGTTAGAATGGTATAGAGGTGGGGAGGAAGAAGATTTTGTTGTGGGGATGAAGAGGATTTTGTGGCATAAAGGCTTCAGATCCAACCAGCTTACCCCAAAAGGATCTAGGGACAGTGGTAAGAATGGGAGAAAAACATTGAACTGAGTGAGGAGAAATAGTGTCATAACACAGATAGGATCCTCATGGAGAAGGCCAAATTCTGGGTGGGCAAGTGATTCATGGTCCCAAGGCCATCCAAGGAGGCAGACTGGGCTGCACCTGCGTCACTCTGTCCTACCATCACCCACTTAATGTAGTTTCTCTTTACCTCAAAGTCTGTTCAGTCCGAGCACAGCCTGCACAAGCACAGCGCCTCACGGGCCAGGCCTGGCCTTGGTTCTTCAGGGCTGTTTTAGCGAAGTACCAGCAATAAAGCCATTGTTAGGAGTTTCCCCACAATACATTTACTGCTCATTTACTGTTATTGAGTTCTTGAGAAGTCTGGCTACACCTTTTCTTTTAAACAACTACTGATTTCCAGTGCTTTGCACACCCTCAGCACCTGATATGTTCCCCATTTCTCTAAGAGGAAAAGGGGGACACAAAAAAGCTGGCCCTAAACAACATGATATTTGTAATTTGATGTTACAAGGACCTGAACACTGCCTTGGGTTTAATCCAGTCACTAATGGTGCCTGTCTTGCTTTGTTATCCTTTTCCACGGAAACAGCAAAAAGTTACCTGTTTCAGTCTGCAAATAGATCAAACGTAAGTAACACGCAATGGGATCTCTCCAACTCCAGACTGGTGTCTGTTCTGCCACTGAGAGATCTTTAGAGATGCAATTTCTGCTTTGTCTGAAAATTTTGCTTCTAATCATAACTTACCCTACAAAGAGACCCCAAAATTTAAAGGCAAAAGTTAAGTTCCGCAAAACCTGCCCAGTGCTTGCTATGTTGGAGATTCTGCTCCTATGAATTGCCAAAAAAAAATGATAAACTCACTCCTAAACATAAATATTCTAGAAAAGCATATGCTGAAGTGATGAATGTGATGAAAATGTTTATTGTAAAAGTGAAAAAAGTGGTGACAAAACTAGACTGAACTTACATCATGCATCTCTTGAGCTGTCAACTCACCTCTCTGCTTGCTGTCTGCTCAGCTCAATGCTTCCCCTACTATGCTTTCCATAATCCCCAAGGGGCCTGAGAAGTCAAAATATACATCCAAGCTGCTTCTGAACGGAACCCATGGTGCATAGAGCTCTTTCAGGTAACTCTCTGCTCACTCTACAGAGTCTCCAACCTCAGTAAAGTCGGCAACAGCTGGCTTGAATCTCACCTCTTTGGACCTGGCTACTACAACCACACACTATACCACCTCTACAACAATCCTAACATCATCTGTACTGGGTAAGTGCCTCCCACTGCCTTCGTACMACTACAGAAAACCAATAAATTTTTGCTCATGCAGGATGAACCCTGTCTTGCACAAGCGATCCAGGGGCATCGGAAAGTCTGGGTTACTTCACACCACGTGTGTTGCTCAGTTACAGCATTCGGTTGAAGTGGCCTCACCATCTTTGCTAACAGGAGCCACTCATTCTGGCTCCCAAGAGCACAGGGCTGCAGCCATGATCAGGAGCAAACCCACACCTGGAAAGCCGGGTGACACCCTGCACCAGGTGATGCTTTCAGGAGGAGTTACAGGCACCCACAATCTCCCTGGTAGAGCTCTCCCAAAGCTTACATCTCTCCAATGTGCAGGACATGATTTGCGAGCCAGATGGCTTTATTTATGCTCAGAGGGGAAGTTTCATGCCAAGAARCAAATTTCTTTGCCAAGAAACCCAACAGCTCTCCAAAACTTTTGTTAATTATGCTAAGACTCCTTTCCTCTGTTTTCTTTATCCAGATGAAAAGTCTAAAGGAAGTAGAAACACAGTAGCCTCATCAACTCAAGGTACTCTCTCTTCGTGTGTTCGTGTGTGTTTGTTTGTTTTAGAGGAATGATAAATTTAGATCAGGTTTTATTGCAATTAACTTACTTCACTTACACGGTGCSGGTTATTTAAGCAGTAGTGTTTACCTTGGGGCTGAGCCTCCCTCCCTACCTCCCAGATCTTGCCCAAGTTTTACTCATGCAAGGTTAAAATCCTGGGGTCAGCTCTGCTTGCACAGATGTCCARCCAGCAGGTCTGTGTCCAGCTAAGCCAAGCGTCCTTTAATTACAGCAGATTAATGTGAATTATAACTCAGCTTTATTGGAAAAGAGCAATACATCAGAAATGCTGCTGATGCTTCCAGAAGTAAGGCCTCCTGATGTGTTGTTGAGACCCAACATTTCCCAAGAACTGGGTATCCTGGCCAGGCTCAACCCACAGTTGCTCTCTACTCACTGCAGCTAAAAGAATAACTTCAGGAGGAAACAAAGGGGCTTTGATAGCTATTAAAGAGATTTATACAGCAGTAGCTGTAACTAGTAACCATTTTTCTGGCCTGCTCTGCTCCATGAATTTACTGGTTTCTGAACACCTGAAATTTGTTCTTTCAGGGAAAAAAAAAAAAAAAAAAAAAGTGCTTCATCTATGCCAAGATCCATCATTAACTGCATAATTTTCCTTCCTCATATCCAAAATGAAGTCAATTTTAATCCATATTTTGCTTAAATGTGCTGGAAGGCTTCATTCCTATATTTGCAAGTAGTTTCCTTCCACATTTTGATTTCACATTTCCACCTTTTCTTCTGCCTTTGTCCAAAATGACATTAAAACTTTGATATTTTCTCCAAGACGGGAAATCCAGTCTGAAGTGAGCTCTTTAGGAACCCATAGCACAGCTGCATTCTCATTCAGAAAGGAAAACTGTAAGAGAGATACCGCCAGGTAGCACGTAGTTGAGGCCAACTGTGTCTTTGGGAGGGAGGGGATGGGAAAGGAAGAAAGACCCTACTTGACCTATAGATGTTCTTCTGAAGTCTGACATACCAGTTTCAGCATCCTGACAGTGCTTGTAGCTGTTCAGTAACATCAAGGCAGATAATTAGTTCAGGCTTTTCAACACACGGATCCAAACAGCAAAGGATGCATCACTGTACAAGTGAAACACATAGGCTGGCTTTAAATCATGCCTGGCTTTCACAGGCATTGGAAGCAGCAAATCCAGTAATTCCAAGTGCAAGGCAAGCCAACAAGTCAACCCACACTTGTACTCTGCAAAACTCCTAAAAATATAAACTGGTTAATGGAGGAGAAAGCCTAATCTCATCTAAAAATTGTGAGCAAGGGCAAATGTGTAACATCTTCAGTTCACTGCTTCAGCTTTAATTGCAGTATATTTGCCTGAAAATGTTTGGGTGGCAGAAAGCTGATCTGAACAGTGACACATTTTAATCCCCTGTTTCTCTGAGTTTTCTTTAGGCATAGTGAAAATAAAATAAAATAAATAAAATAAAATAGAATAAAATAAAATAAAATAAAATAAAATAAAATAAAATAAAATAAAATAAAATAAAATAATAAAATAAAAAAAATAAAATAGTGTTTCATGGAGAAGTTTCACTCTGAAAATAAATGCCCTGTTTCCCTGGATATATAGTGTGAATATCTTCTTTCAAGCACATCCATTAATTCTTTTGGCTGGTACAGTGTCTTCAAGGATGAGTCTCATGCTCTGTGTTTCCTCTGTCCAGGTCAGGAGCCCAAGAGAAGCAAGATTACTACAACRTCAGCAACTCAAGGTGCTTTCTCCTTGCTCACAGAAATAACCACTTGATGGTTTTTGGCTTGATGAAGCAACACCATCATACTGCTGTCCTCAAGGCGGCGTAGTGAAGAGCTGCCCAGAGCACCTGGGCGCTAACTGGCTGCTCCATCTAGTCCTTGAAAAATCTGTAAAGCTGCACAGAAGCAGCACTTCTTTGGGGCAATCTACCCAACCCAACAGGACTGGTGGCTAAGAAGGTGCTGGTATGGTTAGAGTTTATAAAAGGGGGGAGGCAGGATGGGTCCCGTGCTCAAATACACCACCAGATCAATTGCTCTATCTACCATGCTCAGCTTCCTCACTGCTACCCCAGCAGAAGACACTGAGGTGGGAATATCACATGCTCACAGAGATTGCCTTAGTGGGGCCCCTTTTATCGGGCATCTCTGATGCCCGCTTAGGTCTTGGCCACTTTGCTGTAAATACTGATGGTGCTGGTCTAGCATCCACTCTTGTCCTCTTCAGTAAGGTAAAGTGACAAGCCCTGCAGCTTTCCTGGGACTTGTCATCTCACCTTGGATTAAAACCTTTACACACAGCTACTTTTCCCCACATCTCTCTCACAGGCACCTCCCAAACAGCTACCCCAACACCAGGGTCCTTCGGCTACCTGCCCATGCCTACTCCTACGGATGGAAAATCACCACTCACGGTGGCAGCTTTTGGTAAGGCCTTTTGTGATCTGGGCTGGGGAGAGAAGTTCTGTTTTGCCAAGACAGTCAGTTTTGGACCCCCTGGTTCCCTGGGGAACCGCTCGGCTGTTTTCCTCGTCTGGATGCCCAATTATGGCGTCTGAATGCAATGAAAACCCTCCAAAAGACTTGTCATCAGGCAGTAAAARTCTTATTTAATAAGAGTAATTACTTAAATAAGAGTAATTATTACTCCCATTCATAGCTAAAGTACCACAGATCAGCATTTTGAAAGCCCATCCCRGCATGCCTGAACATGGGATCTTGCTCCCAGCACCAGTATTTGCCCCAGCTACAYTCCAGCTCTGCGTTACAGCATGAAGCCCAAATTATTCCCTGCCAAGGTCCTGGTTTCCCTAACARGGGGCAGAATATATAGGCTGCCTGCCCTGGAGCTTAGGCAATCTTTTTCCTTCCCTGCATACCTGCTGGGACTGCATTCCCAGCCCCACCTTCCTGCTTTCACCCATACATTTGCTACTTCGCTTGGCAGGGAGCAACCAAGTCCTCTGCATCCTTCATAGATTGTGCAAGGATGGAGCAAGAGGGGTCATACCTTAATCTGACATAACCTTGAAGATAGGCAGGAGATATCTTTAAGACACCCACTCTTCCCCAGGCTCTGCTGCCTCCCCAAAAGGCAAAAAGATTTGCCTATTTCCATTGCACTATTGGAAAATCTTATTTCAGAAGCACCAAAAAAAAAAAAAAAAAAAAAAAAAAAAAGAGTGAAGTTATTATAAGTATCATTAGTTTATATCCTCCAAGGGGAGCCAAAAGGAGACCTGCAGCAAGAATTCGGTGCAATTTTTAGATGCTAGGTATCCGAATCAAACCTGTGTTTGTCCACTGTCTTATGACAACAATAACAGACTGCTCAGTGTCTCTATCTTGTCTCTCCCCTTTACATTTATTCTTTGGATATTACACACCATCTTCATGTTATCAGAGGTGAACGATTCATTGATTTCCAACCCAAATTTTCCCTGGAGCAAAGCCCCTGCCCTGCACCAAGGGCAGGCACACCGATGATGCTTTCCTCCCTCCCCAGGTGTCATCAGCTTCATAGTCATCCTGATCGTGGTTGTGATCATCCTAGTCGCCGTGGTCAGCCTGAGGTTCAAGTGTAACCGTTTGAAGGACTCGGAAGGTATTTGCTGGCCCATTGGGGGTTGAGGAGCTTCGTTTTGGCTACATCCTTGTGCTGCGAGATTAGGAGGCAACACACTTTACACCTTCATGCTTCTCTCTGCAGCTGAAGATAGGCTTAAAGAGAACAAAACCCATTCCAGAACAGAAGTATACCTGAGCCAGAGCTCTCCACGTCCAAGTAGTGTATCCTATGGCTGTCCTTCCCTTCCTACTCAACAAGTTACCACTTTCTAGGTTGATTTGGCAGTTCTTGAAAGATGAAAGGATTCCTTTTTAAATGAAATGTGTTACCTGGGGATTGGGGGAGGGAGGACAGAACAGGCTGGGATAGCAATTTAGCAACTAGGAATCTGCAACCTGTTCTTTAGCGTCCCAGGCCAGACCCATCTGCAGAGCGGGGCAGAAGGAAGGTTGCTGCGCCTGCCAAGGATGAAAATTACAGATTTCCACACGTGGAAATCTGCTGTGCTCTTCTGACAGTGCTTTTGCGCCGTCGGCAAAGCAGTTGTGGAGACTGGTCCTTGTTTTGCCCAGAATCCCAATTTTAATTAAGCTCTGCCCGCTAGAGGGCAAGGCTGCTCTACGGCAGGACAGAGAGCCGCGAGGAGCCCAAAGGAAGCCAGCAGTTAAATAAGCAGCAAAACATTCAGTCCTGCCTGTAAAAAAAAAAAAAAAAATCGCAGACTTAGTCGCAGCAGCTTCTCTAACCAATTCTCGAGAATCTGATGGTGGCCCCAATCTCATGTGGATGTCATTTACAATCCTTTACGATGCAGCTCTGAATAGAGCTGACTCATTTTATTGACGTTCTCACCTACATAGCAACTCCTTTTCTCCCCCACCAGATAAGCAGAAGCCGGGGAGCAACATGGTGTCAGAGAGGTAAGGCTGCCTGGTGACCTCCCCTATTGCCATCCATTGTATTTCATTGCAGAGGTCATTTTAGCAAGAAGAGGAGGCTTTGATTATTCCAAGTGGAAAGCAGTGTTTCAGGACAACTTATCACCTGCACTGATAACGGGGGGCTCATGACCTTGCAAAAGAGCATTTCACTTGCGTTGCCTTGCCTAGATACAGCCTTGAGGTCCAAGCTTGGGCTTCTGAAYTTCAAAGCCATCCCAATGAGAGAAGATCAGGTCCCCAAAAGTATCTTCCAAGATCCCTATTCCTGCTAGCCCAAAGTGTGGGAGAAGGGGGACCCCATTCCAGAGGCTTTTGGAGGAGAAGCACCAAGTGGAGGATGGTCTGCCTGAACCTCACTGACCACCACCACTAGCTGGGAAAAGGGGCTGCAGGTGGGAAAGCAGCAGGAGACAGAAGCTGGAAGGAAACTAAAATGAAAGAAAGGGTACCTGAGTGCCAGGAGCTCTTATTCCTGCTCTTCTATCTGATAATTTCTACCAAGGCAGCAATCCAGCTTTAGAAAGGATGAAGGGACACAGCGGGGAAGGTCCCTAGGTGCTGAGTTCGCARTGACGTTAGTGGTTCATAAATACCCCTAATGATCATGACTTAAGTGACCWGCAGCCACTTAAGCAGCACGTATCAGCAGAAAACTGTGCCCAGAGGAACCCTAATCCCCAAATCTTCCACTCACCATTGATGCTAAATGCAAATCCCAGCCCTTAAGCTAGGGAGAAAGGGGAATCCCACCAGTGGTGCTTTCCCTTGGGCAAACCCAGCTGTGCATGGGAATCCATCCGAACGCGTCGCTTCTTTCTCCAGACTCCCCCGGGCAATTTAGCTATTGGGGACGTGCATGAGCTATAGTGACAAATCAAAGAGCAGTCCACATCTTCAGTCAAGATCATCTAACCAGAGGGGAGACAACGCTATTCTAGGCCTTGGATGGACCTGTCTCCACTCAAGGGCTGCTCCTCAGCAGTCACCTGGAGGTGGGAAGGTCACAGATCTCCCTGGTCCAATGTGCCCGCCTGCCCCTGCCTTGCCTCTTTGCCTGTCATTGTGTGCAACGTTGTGTGATCTTCTTCTATATCTCTTAATACCTTCTCTGGTTGACAGCTGCTCTGCGGGCACAAGGGAGAAGGATAACAGCATCACTCTGATCTCCATGAAGAACATCAACATGAACAACAGCATAAGTTACCCACCATCAGAAAAGGTTTCCCTTTTAAATCTTGCTTTTTATAMGAGTTAGTTAAGAATTATTTCTCTTGTTTGCCTTTGAGTATTCCCTTTGCTCTCTTACTCCTTCAGAAAACCATTGAAAGCTTGAAACATCAAACTTGTTGAGATCCAAGCTGTTTTCAGTGAGCCTGGTGAAAGTTGGGCTCCTTGTGACGCTTATCAAGCAGACCTCATGTGTATGGGTGCCATCATCCAGGGCTAGCCAGAGCTACTCTGGTTTGTCGTTAAATTAATAGATAAATAAACCAGATTTTCTGAAGTTGGGCGGGTCTCATTTTCTAGTCAAAGCCCCCTTTTGTTCTTGCTCTGTTGATGATATTGCAGTACCTTCTTACCAGAACTCTAAGATTCATTCCAAAAAAAAAAAAAAAAAAAATTAATTACCATCACTTTGATGTTTGAAAGCTAAACTAGGAATTGGATTTTGTTTGAGGCAAGACTTTTAGTTCTTTTGCCAGCCCAAACAGGCTACTAATGCATCACATTTTGTTTCCTTTGGCAGGTGTTATGAAGAAAATGACTCAGAGCTAGAAGCTGACATTGGACAACCAGCAGTGACCTGCCAGGTTCCTGCCTTCCTTTGGGGAAAGGGTAGTGTTGGGCTGCTGCTCTTTTTTTTTTTTTTTTTTTTTTTTATATATATATATATATATATAAAAGTTACTTGTCCCTTTCTGATCAATACATTTACTGTATCAGGCCACATAGCTTGCCCCTCAGGGGTCTCAGGGCTTGCTCTAGCTACAGCCTGCCATGCTCAGTGGTTGATATCTCACTGTATTTTTGATATGCACCCAAACTCTCAAGCAGCAAGGAGCACCAAGGAACTATCTACGCAGCTGATAAACTGCTGCCCTTGATTAATGGCCCTGATAGCCCATGCCAGTCAGTCATGGGCTTGCCATATAGCTTCAGACTGAGCTAAAGCCATGCGCTAAAAAGCATCAGGCTGAAGCTGAAGGCCTAATGAGACCTATATGGMCAAGCATGGGGTCAAAGCAGAGCACAATTGCTCAGTCTTTTATCCTTGGTGCCCCRGTGTCTCTGCAGAGCAGGGATAACCACACTCACCTACCTCACAGGGGTGTTGTGAGGCTACGTTAATCAATGTCTGTAGAGCGTTTGGAGAGCCAGGAATTAAAGGTGCTGCTGAAACGCAAGCTGCCRTCCTAATAATGTTGTTACTGCTATGTGAGCTTTGGGCACACAGATCGTGTTCACAAGAAGGAAGACTTGCTGGTTTAAATATAAAGAACAAAAGAACAAGGCGTCTTGTTTTGGTTGACTATGAAAGAGAGCAGCCACGAGCAAAGCCAATATGGAGCTTCTCTCTTCTGCAACAGCATCTCAGAAAAGACAACCACCTGGAACAACAGAAGCTCATGGGACCASTAGATCTTTCTTCTTCCCTTTGCTAACCTACCACAGCTCCAAAGCCTCACAAACCTCTGCCTTGGTGGGTAGGTTTTTACAATGCGTTCCTGACACTTCAATGCCAGCAATATCAGGGAATGCTGAGCCTTAACTGGACTTCCCTCCTGCAACAAGTTGCATTGACCTCTGAAGCGCTGGCCCTAGGATCTTGCCACGGCCATAGCCTCTTTTGCCTCTGGACTCATTGGGCAAAGTTGCCAGTCAAGACATTCCTTCTCCCTCCAGTTCTGGGCCCTCCTCCCATTCCTTAGCTACTTAGCTAGTCTTACTAGTGCTAGTAGTTACTAAACAACTTCCAGACAGGGCTCAGGACCTTTATTTCATTCTCACTTTTCTGGACTGCGGCTCAACATCACTCCCTTCTCTTGACATCTTCCCCTTCCCATGCTTTTTTAGCCCTCTAGCTTATCCCATCCCTTGCCCCACAACCTAGAATTTCATTCCCGTCCCAAACCGATGTCCATTCAGAAGGAAGCAAAAACTGGGATGCTGAACTTGTTCAGCAGGAAGACTGAGCTGAAATCAGTGATGGAAGTGATGTGACCGCCAGCTTCCAGTGGCAATTGTCTCATGTGAATGAGTGTGACCCTGCCATGTACCTTCCAACACGCCGTGCTGGTAGGAGACGCTCTTCTAACCCCCCCACAGCACTTTCTCCCGCACTGCTGGTGAGCCCGGTGTCCTTGGCAGTGACACGGGGACACAGGCCCAGCACAAGGGATGCCGACAGGCCCGCGAGCCCGGCTGCGAGGGGCAGAGGCGCCAGGCAACGGTGTCGGGCCCGTCCCGAGGCCTGGGCTGGCCAGCACATGGACAGCGCGCGTCCCTGGACCACGCAGTGCTGCCGGGGGGGACAGGCGGCCCCGGGRCGGCTGCACCGCTCACTGCACCGCTCTGGCGTCACAGCACTGGCCTCGCGGGGCCGTTCCCCCACGCGGCASAACGCTGCCTATGACGTCACGGGGCGCCGCCCTGACGTCACGCCGCCCATCGTCATGAAACTCCCCGGCGGAGGCTGGCCCTCGCCGTCCCCATTCCCCTGCCCCTCCCGCTCCCCCTCCTCCCCCAAGGCGCGGGGCTCTCTGGGTAATGTAGTCCGCGGCGGGCCGGGCGCGCCGCCGGGCG